AAAAGTACCAATCATCCAAAAAACGAAATCAATATATGAAAAGCAACAGATATACAACGAATCCAATTGGGATTATTATTTAGGTATAACCAGAGTAGTAGGATTTGAGCATGGCCTCGGATAAACATATGCATTGGATTTTCTTCACAAAGAAAACCTAAAGCGGTATACTGACCGCGAAGCCCTAATTTTTATTTAATTTTACAAAGGACTAGAATAGTCAGATTATCTTCAAAGATTCCAAAGAAAATACAAAAAATTAAATATACATGCTTAAAATCAAACATCAACCAAGACAACAAAGCCCTAATTTGTAAAATTAAATAAAAATTTTGTTAAATAGATAAAAAGGAAAAAATTGAAACCCTAGAGTTTGATGACTGAAAAGGAGAGAGATAAGTACCCTAGAGTTCGACGAACAAGTGGCGGCGGGGGGGGGGGGCCAAGGAGAGGAGGGAAACGAGGGCGAGAAGGTCGGCGAGAAGGAGAGGCGGCGGAAGTGGGGCCGGCTGTGGTTTTGCTCCGTCGAGGTGTGGTGAGGTCGCAGAGGGAGATCGACGAGAAAAACCCTAGGGCTCTTCGACGGGGAATTCGACGGGGAGCTGAGGAGAGCTAAGGAGAGGTGGCGCACTGCGGTTTTGCTCCTTCGAGGAGAGGAAGCGGCGGAAGTGGGAAACGAGAGAAAACCCTAGGGCTCTTCGACGGGGAATTTGACGGGGAGGGTAGTTGATTTTGATCGAGTGAATGAGGGCTACGGTTATAAGAAACAAAATTATAATTGTAATTTATTTTTGGTTAAGGTTTGGGCGTGAACATAAAACCTATAATAAAACCGTTCCCTTATCTCATGATAAAACCGTCCCTTAGTCCATTATAAAGTTTTAGCTTAAGCCTAAGTCAAGCTCAACGCTTTAGTTTATAACGTTGTCTTAGATTTTTTTGTAACGGTTGGAACCGTCACCAAACCGTTCCCTTAGGAAGCAAAGGGAACGGTTTTAAACCGCGCCCCACAAACCGTCCCTATAGAGCCATTATGTGGTAGTATATATATTTTAAAAATATTAAAATTTTAATTTATTAAGTTACCTTTTTATTTGAATTACCATTCTTGTATGTCCTTAGCAAGCTGTATTTCAGGGTTGATACATATTGTTGATGCAATTTGCGAAGTCATGCACATCTCCCCTGCATATATAATAGTTATAATTAGAATTTGATATTTATTGATAAATAATTTACAATTCAATAATAAAAAATGTTACCTTTGTACAATGATATTTTAAAATAATAATAAAAAATGTTACCTTTGTACAATGATATTTTAAAATCTGATAGCGCTATTATAGTTGTCTCATTCATATTGCCTTCAATAATTGAACATTCATTGTTAGCTAAATCTCCGAATAAAGTTACAGACAATGTTATCTCACTATGTAAGAAAAGTTAGATAATTTTTGGTTAATATATTATATTTTGAATAATTAATTTATTGTGAAATAAAAGCATGCATGTATACTCTTTGTCTACTATAATGATGTCCCGCCTTGTGTCCGCCTTATTATATCTTGTAACGTACTTGATCATAGGCTTGACATTTGCTATCATTGCAAGAACATCTGCACATAAATTTATAACAAGTTTAAAATTCATGTATAAATTTTTAAATTAAAAATAAAAGGTGTTTACAAATACTTACTTATATTCCTTGTATCCTCGTTGGAAATTGCGTCTTTGATTGAGATAAAGTTGTTCAATATCTTATCAAATAAAAACTCTGATTTTGATTCTTTGATAGAAATGTTCTTAGTCAATGTCAACTCAATTGACTCATGTACATTTCCATAAAGCGGGTTTATTGGTTTGACTTCTCCATTTTGAGATGTAAACAACATGATTCTTCTGAAGCATGTGCTTATACATTTCAATAGTTTCTCCAAACATAATACCTTGTAAATTTTTTCCCCTGCAAATATTACTAATATTATCTCACAAATAACTAATACATTAACATTCATTTAAGCCTAAGATAAATAAGATAAGTGATAGATGACGTAAGTTATGTATAAAGGCATTAATTAATGCTAGTGTATTACATTTTACAGATCTTTATAAGTTACATTTTTTAAAAATTTAGCTTGATCATGCAACTAAATAATAAATTTATGGTCAATATGCTTATTAAAAATTTAGTCTAAATAATAACTATTTTGTTGCAGTGTGTATATAATGTTGTGTTGATGTCATATTCTAATTATTTGCTTGCTTATATTGTTAGACATATGTAGACAATTAATTTACGTAGAATTAGGAAGAAAGCATGATATTTGTTGTATAAAATTTGCAAAAATAAATTACATGTTGCTTACCTCTTTAATAAATGCATGAATTATATTTATATGATCTTATACACAGTAAGGTGATAATAATTAATATAAGAATATGCATAAACAATTATAATTTAATTTATATTTATAATTTATAAATTTAAAAAAAAATTGAGAAGGCTCTGCATAGATTTAAAATAACGATTGCTATGGCATGATAAAAAGTGATGCATATTGTACTTAAACATTATATGTATTACTTTATTTAAAAATAAGTATCAACAATTATCAATAGAATTATAGCATGTAAAATATTGCTACATTACCTCTGAGTCGGCAAAAATTATTTTTAGTAGTTTTTCTGATCCTTTGTTGTTCTCATAAGAGGACTCAATAGTTCTTAGGATAACAACATGAATGGTCCACTCTCTTTGAAACTTTTTTAGTTGGCGTATTTGGATGTGTGGAATTGGTGCTTCGTTGGTGGATGACATTGTTCCTGTAAGATTTTGAATAGTTTGTTATATATAAATAACAACGCATCTGAAGTACTAAATAAACTCAAAAGAAAATAAAATGAGACTATTTCTATATCAAAGGTATAACACTAATTATAGTAATTTGAATTTATTAATTAATATTATTTATAATGTTTAAAGTTATTTTAATTTTGATTAGTACATGATTTTGAACGAACAGAGTGAATGATGTAATAATGAATTGTAATATTTTTTAATTATTTTTAAGAAAAAAACTTTAATAAAATTGCAGCTACTTACTATATAAATTTCTAACCTTCAAAAATATTATTTGTCATTTGAATTATTCCTCGTGGTCCTTTGGCTGGAGAACTTCCTTGTATATAACATTCTTTGTATGTTGTTCCTCTTCTACAAATTTTCCATCTGATGTTATTAAGACCTTGGTTGTCATCATAGAAGTACCCCACGATAAAGCAACATATAATTGCCCATGAGAGAACACTGTTTCAGGTAGATAAATACCTACGTTAGATATTGTTTGCCCTTGGGATTTATTAATTGTCATTACAAAACATTATCTTATGGGAAATTGTTTGCGTTTGAACTTGAATGGTAATCATTCATCTTCTGCTGGTGACAATGGTATTCTTGGCAAGAATACTTCTTTCCCAGCATGTTGGCCCATTGTGATTTTAGCTTGAATTACATTGTAGTTAAAATCTTAACATACCATTCTTGTACCGTTGCACAGTCCATTAGTTGGATTCAAGTTCCTTAGTAAAATAATTGGACAATATTTTTTCAATATGAGCTTGTGTGGCGGTGGTCCATTAGGGAGCAGAGTGTTCAAACATTCTTCTTGGTAATGATGATTAGTATCATCAACTGCTTTATCAAAGCTATAGAATTCTTTTCCTTCTCCTGGAAACCTTTTTATTAGTCTATCATTTAACATGTCAACATATTCATTTTTTGTTGCAATGATAGCTCTATCTTTCATATAGTCAATAGACTTGAAATTCTCATCTAAACATGGAAAAATTGAATTTATGAGAGAATCTTCCGGTAGGTCATCACCTTGATTCTGGATCAACATTGCATTAGGCAGTTTTATGAGATCCTGGGTCACTGTTGGTTCATCTTCATTCCCAATCCTAAGAAGAAATTCAATGAATGATGTGTCTGATTTTGCTCTCATATTTTTTAAAAGTAGTTTGATCATTTTGCTCCACAAATGTGAGCTTACTAAACTTTCTCTGATAGTTTGTGATCTTGTTGAGCGAGGCACCACTGGTAAAACTTGTCTGAAATTGCCACCAAATACAATTTGTAGGCATCGAAAATTGCCTATAGTTCTCCACAACCGGTTCAGTGTTAACGAACGACGATGAACGTCACCATCCAATCCACATAAGCCTAATCGACGTCGACGAACGACTAAAGTGAATCGACGAGCTACATGAGCGGATAGGACTTCGGAATCACGAAGACCCGGACCAATCGGGAAGCCCGGCACTGTTCACAAAAAGGACAACGCCCTTCATGCCTCGACCACTCTACAGATAATCCAATCACCAGAGCGGGTCAAACTCTTCGTCGCGCATCCAACGCACCCGGAATCACTCAAATCCGAATCCGGACGAAGAATATACAGGGGAACCAACAAAACACCTAAACGGAGTCTCGGCAAGCTCGAAACACCCGAGGGGTGTCTTGGCAAAGCCAAGACACCCCAGGGGTGTCTCGGCCAAGCCGAGACACCCCTAGGGGTGTCTCGGAATTTCCGAGACACCCCAAGGGTGTCTCGGAAATTCCGAGACACCCCAAGGGGTGTCCTCATTTTTTTTGATACCCCCCTCTTAGTTTCCTATAAATAGCCCCCTTGGGCCTTTGTTTTGGGGGAGGATTTTGGGAGAGCTTGGCGAAGCCCTGCTGCAGTGAAGAGTGCCCGTGTGCTTCAACAAGAGGAGGAGAGGTCTTGATCAGAGCCTTCATCACCCGTCAGATCCTTAGTATCGGCCTTAGCGTTGATACTAAGAAGAGCTATTACCTCGCTTTAGCCGAGGTATACGCTTATAGCTTCTAGATCTCACGCGGATCGACGAAGCTCTGCTTCTATATCCCTCCGCGGATAGACGAAGCTCTGTCCGATTTATCCGGATCAGAAAGTTTCTAGATCTCACGCGGATCAACGAAACTCTGTCCGATTTATCCGGACCAGATCTGAGTGCCCCGGTGGTCCACGGATATCAACATCCCCGTCACAGGCAAAAGACCCACGCAAGCAAGAGATGACAAACAGATCTTGCGTTTGTTTGAAAAGAGTTGTATTTATTTTGTTTTCATTGTGTACCGGTCTTATAAAAAGGCTATCTTTTTATTTCATTGTAACGATTGAAGTTGTAATGAATGCAGCAATGAATACAGCAACTTTTTCCGCAAACAGACTGGCGACCACAGTGGGAGCCAACGGCATCGCAACCGACGCCGTCGTGACGCAACCAGCACTCAAGATCGGGGTGAATGAAGAACACGAGCTCGATCAACAGGAGATGGCCTCTGAAGATACTCCAGCAATATCAAAGAGAGCACGACAAAGACAGCGTCAACGTCTTGCTCGTCAGCTGGCCGAGGCTTTGGAGCCAATGGATGGGATCCGCTATAACGTAGATCTAAAATCCAGGCAACGCCAGGAGCAACCACGGCAAACAACCAGCCCCTCCTCCGAAGCAGGAACAAACAAATGGGTTCATGTCAAAAGAACCCGTTCTATTCTCGAGGAGCGAATCCAGAAGCGCCGCGCCTTGCGCGCGCATGCCCGAGCCCTGGTCCAAAAAGCACGAGAAATGCTAAAGGGAGAGGCCGTTAAGAGATCGCCGAGATCCGAACGAGTTTGGATGCCAAAGGCCGAATCAACGCCTAAGGCAAAAGCAGGTAATATTGCTCTCCAACCTTCGTCAATTTCAGATCCCGAACCTCTGGAAAAGCCCCAACGCAGCGCGGATCTCCCCAAGTTCAAGAATCCTCCGATCGTTGAAGGAGCTTCGAGCCAACATCCAGACTGGGGGTCGTACACGATCTCCTAACAAATCGATCTTTGCAACGACCAGCTCGGCGGTGCGTGCAAAGGACCAAGAGCCCGTTAAGGTTTCACCCTCACAAAAGAGTGACTCCGAACGTGCGACTCTTGCAGATGCCAACAAGGCAATGTCTACTCAGAAGAAGACGCGTCGAACAAACGAACGCGTTATACCTGAGAACCCATGTGAGCAGCCGATAGGTTACTCCGACCGCAACGTCGATGAGTTGTACTATCAGGCTGGGGGTGCAGATGATCCGACGGCAACGTCGATGAGTTGTACTATCAGGCTGGGGGTGCGGATGAATCTCGAAAGAGAAACACCCGGGAAGCGGATTCTCACTGTCCGTGTACCAAACTTATCAGGGCAGTATTATCAGCCTGTAGCTGCCCCAAGACCGCTCCACAGAGGGTCTCGATATTCGAGGGAATCTCAGATGGACCGACAAAGCCCAAGTCAAGGCGTTCCCACCAAAGAGGATCAATTGCTCGAGATGATGAACCCCTAGAAGTGACTATCAACATGGTCAACAAGGGAAAATCCCCAATCATTTCAAGTAGTTCAGACCCTAATTTCTCTCTAGGAAGCAGGGTCGATTCGGGAATAGCTCAGCTTCAGCTAGAAGCCGTCGGATATAACAACGACCATGGAGTCCATGAAGGAGTCCATTCCGATGATGAATTCTCGGATTCCTATTCCGCTCTCGCTTCTGACGAGACAACGTCTAGCATAGGACAAGCTCGAGAGGTGCTCATGGTCAATACAGATCAGATAGCCAAAATCATTGAAGAGGCCCTGACTAAGCAGAAGGAAATCTTCAAGTTTGAAATGGAAGTGGCTATGCAAGAGATGAGACAAATGCACGATCAA